TACAACGTCAAGTCATGACATTTGACAGATCCATGCCCTTGTATCGTGGATTATCCAGTGAGCAGAGAGCCAATTGAGAATGTGCGTAAAAGCAAATCTGAATGTTTCCGCCCAGTTTCTAACAGGAGACCCTTCGCTTGTAAAGCCATCGTGATAACCACAGGAGCCTCCGGTTAGGGTGAGAGCACTGTCTTGTGGTGCCAGCGCAGAGAGACGGAAAGTCACTTTCCACAATGTTTTCATTCAATGTTCTACGCTGGTGGAATCACCTTCCCATTCCCACTCGGATTACGGATACACTGGTGTCCTTCAAACGACAGCTAACACCCATCTCTTCAGAGTACACCCGAACCCCGGTGAATATCCCTCTCTCTAAAGAAAACGAAACTCCTACTCCAGCACTAAATTCTCTGAGCACAAACAAATTACTTGGAATAAATAGCCCTTTTTCGTATGCATTGCCTCGTCTTGTTGAATACCTCCACTATTGTATGTCGCTTTGGACAAAAGTGTCCGCTAATTGTATGCTTCCGCCCAGTTTCGAACAGGAGACCTTTAGCGTGTAATGCAAACATGATAAACACTACACTATGGAAACCAATAGGCCCGTGCTGCTTCAAGTATTTATAGTCTTTTTTTATAGAGCTGTCTTGTAGGGTCTGCACCGTGAAGGACCAGCAAACGCACTGGCCACCTGCTCATGCACAACACAAAGCTAATAGAAATCAGATTCTACGCAAGTTTGCGACACCGCGAGGGGAGGTAAACACTGAGTTGAATTTAAACTTCTAGCCTCACACCGCTCTGCAGAAAGAATGTTTTCAGTGAACGTCAGTACTCAACAGAAGCATGATTTGACTATTGTCATAAAAGCCAGAGGTTGTTTCCGCCCAGTTTCGAACTGGGGACCTTTCGCGTGTGGGGCGAACGTGATAACCACTACACTACGGAAACCTTCAGGCAAATCAAGCAGATAACCCTTTTTGATTGGGTGCCTGTCGACGATCATTGCTGGTGCGGCAGTGGATGCTATTATTTTCTCGCCAAAGAAACCGAGGACCTTTCACGTGTTAGGCGAACGTGATGACCACTACACTACAGAAACCCCACAAGTGCTTTCACCAGCGAAGTTAGGCCTGCAAGGATAAAACAAGGCGTACGCGTTGGTCAATCGAGCGGACAAAGCCAACTCAGCGTGACAAGCTCCCTGCAGGTATTAGGGCCAATTTACAATCCGGGCCCGACACAGCTGTACAGGTCCTTGCGAAATGTCCCCTTTCGTCACATTTGAAGCACCTGAATTCTGGGCGTTCCTTCATCACATTTTCTGAGCTCATGCATAGTCGACAGGTTTTTACCTGATTGGTGTGCCGTCTCGATTTTGGTACTGTAAGGTAAGGAGACCATCTCTTCCGGAAATCTGTTTTTTACAAACCTTGTTCCATCTTCTATGTTTGTGCCAGGATACAATCTTCTTTTAATTTTAGATATGGGGAAAACTCCCCATCTCTCTAGCTTGCTTAAAATTTCTTCATCTGCTAGGTAAACAGGCAGATGCTTGAACGAAACAACATAGTCTCTGTTTTGTAACCTCCGTACTTCAGATTTCACTCCTTTAATTGTCAATCCATTGTCTATTAAAATTTCGGTGTCATCTTCAGTCTCCATTGTTACTTCATACTCCCTTTGTTTGTTTGGGTCTCACCGCCAGAATTCTTCCTTCTCCAATCAGCTCCGTGACTGCTTTGGTTATATCAAATCTTCTTGCATCTTTTACATTTTCTACTTCTACAGTTACTGTTGCTTCCTTTGTGCATACTCTTCTTTGTACCTCTTGCTTATCCTTACCTTTCTCACCTCTTCGTTGGCCGGGCTCTTCATTTTATTTATCTCTTTGTCTCTTGTCAAGTCAATTTTCTTTAACTCTTCATCTATTATCCAGCCCATTTTCTTTATCCTTTCTTGCAAGTCCCTCCATTTCCATGTCGTTGCCGGGGAATCTGTCCATGATTAAAAATAAAACACACTACATAACCACCCTTCAGTCAGCAAAATGCTGCTGTTAGGTGGTTTTTAAAGAAAAAAAGAAAACAAACAAACAAAAACACTCAAGGTCAATAAACAAAAAGGTAGACAAACAAAATGGGGAGAGCCTTTCTCTCCTTACTGCTGCCAACTCACTTGTTTGCTCTATAGCCCCCTCAGGGTGGTGTGGCCGTAAGCAATGACAGCTGTCAAGTGTTGCCTATTGAAACTAGGCGCAGCCCCAGGAGGCGAGCACAGCTTAGCTGCCTGCAGCGCAAATGAGCTGGACAGCCGGAGCTGGGCAAGCTGTGAAGCACCAGATTCCATGTCACGGTACTTCGGTGTGGCTCCCAGGAGACAGCTCCTGCCAAGTTTGCATGTCAGGATGGCCGAGCGGTCTAAGGCGCTGCGTTCAGGTCGCAGTCTTCCCTGGAGGCGTGGGTTTGAATCCCACTTCTGACAAACCGAGCCTGCGGCAGTGCGCTCAGGCTGAAGTCTTTAACTCTCTGCCCCCATGTCCGAATGATACAGTAACACTGACTAAGTGCCGCATCACGCTACAATCCCACAGAAAAACACATGTGGGCCCCATGTGGGGTAGCCCATGCAGGCCCCTAAAATATTTTTCCCTTTGGGTCCCACATGGGTTTTTCTGTGGGCAAGCCCACAGGTGGGCTTGACAGAAAAACATGTGGGCCCCCAATGGGTCAGCCCATGTGGGGCCCAATGGATTTTGCCCTTTGGGGCCCTAATGTTGGTTTTCTGTGGGCAATCCCACAGTGGGCTTGCCCACAGAAAAACACATGTGGGCCACATATAGGTCAGCCCAAGCGGGGCCCAATGGATTTTCCCTTTGTGGCCCTAACTTGTATTTCGTGGGTAAATATAAGTTAAATTTTATATTTAGCTTGTATATAAAAATTACAATAAATCATTTTCATTTTGGTCAAAATAGTGTGAAGGACAAAAACTGCCTTGCTGCTGAGAGAAAATCATCCAGAAATTATAGTGTGGACCCTATGTGGGTAAGTGTGGGTTTACTGTGGGAAAGTGTGGGCAGGACAATCCAACAGAAAAACACATGTGGCTCCCATGTAGGGTAGCCAATTGAGCCACCCAAAATATGTTTATTGTCCACTTTTTTAGACAAATTTGACACCAAAAGTGTTTAAAAAAGTGTCCTTAAGTGTGAAAAAATAAAAATCATAACTGGAGCAATTATTTTCTTGGGGAAAGTGACACCCTGAATGGTTAGTCACACGTTTATATGTATGTTTTTTCTTATAAGTATTTATAATAAAATCTGCTTCTCTTTGTTAATTTTCTTCATGATTCATCTAAAGCTGTATTTAAATATCATGAGTGGAGAGTGGGTGGGACCGGGATGGTTTGTTTACAGGGTTGCTATGGTAACGGTGAACCAAGAGTGTCATTACTAGAGCGCCTTGATTTTGAACAACAACACAGCCGTCTCATCTTTTAGGTGGGTAAATCCTATCACAAAATCGATAAAATGTTAAGATAACATGTTACTCAAGTGTGTTTACAAGTTTAGTGAGGTAACGTGCAGTTAAAGAGTTAATTAGTAGCGAAGATTGTATCTGTTTGCTGACATTGTATCAAAACGGCAGTTAGTGGCCGTGTGTTATATGATAACTGCAAAGTTAACTAAAGGGCTCCACCACGCTGAAATCCTCTTTAAATGTTATATTTTTGTATTCAAGTTGTTAAAAACGATAATAATATCACTTTTGATTGTATAAATACACTTTTGGTTTAAGACGAGGGTTACAACGACTGGAACAGAATTGTTTACGTTTGGATTACACAGAGCTGTCCCAGAGATGCAGAGCAGATGCACGATACTGTGCTGACACCCCACTGGCCATAGAGGTAAAGTTGGTTTTATATTCACACTTTCGTTCATTTAGAAGTCTCTATATTGTTTACCATATTACTTTGAATATTCGATCGGAATTAGCATGCAAGTGTGACTTGAAAACAACAATAACACTGTTTATTTGACTGTGAACAATGTTGTACTTTAATAGTCATTTGCTGCTATTATGATTTCTCTATTTAGAGTTTGCAATGAATACTTTTCTGAAATTATAATATTAAGGGGAAAGTCTGAATGTGCGAATATAAAACCAACTTTACTTCTATCCACTGGCCAAGCAACTGCTAGAAGGGCTCTGACCAGATAAAAAGGTCATTAGGAGCATGCTGATCTGCAAAGGATTTAAAGGTAGAGTATGTAATGTTTCTATATTATTACCCTCTTTAACAGGAGTTAAAAAGGAAATCTGAAGGAAAACTTACTAATCATGTACAGTAAGAACAGTAGAAACAGTTAAGTAAGTAACATTTATTTGTCCACAAATTTTTAAAGACTGAAACACTTTTCATTATCCTGGAGTCTTTTTACAACCCCAGGGGCTTTGTAACAACTACAAATAATAATATAGGTTTTTAACTTTATTTATAATGTTGGTCAATTTGTCTAATTTTAAAGCCTGCCAAGCACATCTTTTTCATAATCATAATATTTTTGGTCTGAGTATTAACAATTTAGAAACAGAAACAACCCTTAAAAGAAAATCTAATCTCAGATTCAATAGATGTGATATACGTTATGCATTAACTACTAGTATAATTGTAAGTGTACTACTTGAAAATTACACAATGACATTTTTTATTTGTACGGCAAGTGAACTCCTGAGTAGTATACTTTTATAATACTTGTTGTAATTATTTAGTTTATGTACTCTATTCTTTGCTTAGAACTTGACTGTTGCACTTAACCATTACAACTGCGCACACAGTAATAGATACACACACACACAGCAGTGAACATGGATGCATGCACACACACACAGACACACAGACTTACGCATCCGCACACACACACACACACACACACGCTGCTGCTGACTGTTCCTGCAGAGGATTCTGGGTAAATCTCTCGTCAGTCTTCAGCTCAGTTTCACTGATGATCCAGGATAAACAGTAAACCCAGGGCAGAGCGGCTCAGTGAATGTGGTCTGGACTGAGTGGATGAGGCTCATTGTGTCTCTATAGATGTTGTAGAAGATCAGAGTTCCTGCACTGTGATCCACAAACACTCCTATTCTCCTGCTGAGCGCCTTCACTGGGAGAGCAGTGTGTGTGTGATTGTGACTAATTGTGAAACTGGAGGAAAAGCAGAACAAACTCCAGGACTGAGCATTACATCCAAACACACACTCAGCACCATCTCCCTTCCTCCTGATGCTCTTATATGACACTGATATACACACACCAACATCTCCATTGCAGTCAATCTCCCAGTAACAGCGTCCACACACACTCTCTCTGTGTACGTGTGTGTGTGAGAGAGAGGGAGAAAGTGTGTGTGTGTGTGAGAGAGAGACGGTGTGTGTATGTGTGTGTGTGCCTGTGTGTGTGAGAGTGTGTGAGAGAGTGTGTGTGTGTGCGTGCGTCCATGTGTGTGTGTGTGTGTTTGTGTGCGTGAGAGTGAGTTTGTGTGTGTGTGTGTGTGTGTGTATGCGCGCGAGCGTGTGTGTGTGTGTAGTCCTACATTTGCGTGGTCCTGCTGTAATCCTCGTGTGTGTGTGTATGTGTGTGTGTGTGTAGTCCTACCATCTCCCTTGCTCCTGATGCTCTTATATGACACTGATATAGACACAACATCATCTCCACTCCAGTCAATCTCCCAGTAACAGCGTCCACACACACTCTCTCTGCACAACACCTGAGGATAATAATCAAATCTGTCTGGATGATCAGGATACGGCTGATCCTCGCTCACACGCTTCACCTCTCTGTTCTCCTCAGACTGAATGAGTTGAGTGTGTGCTGTGTTTGGATCCAGAGTGAGGAAACAGACATCTGAACACAAAAACACACACATTTACAACCACAGCTGTGTGAGTGTGTGTGTGTGTGTGTGTGAGAGAGAGAGAGAGAGAGAGAGTGTGTGTGTGTGTGTGTGTATGTGATTGAGAGAGGGAGTGTGCGTGCGTGTGTGTGAGTGTGTGTGTGTGTGTGTGTAGTCCTACATTTGCGTGGTCCTGCTGTAATCCTTGTGTGTCCTCCATGATCCAGACTGTAAACACACACAGATGGAGAGAATGAGCTGTTTAGTTTCCCCCTCAGCTATTAAGCTAAAGCTAGCACTGAGCTGCTCAGCTACACGCTCCAAACTCTTGAGCTAAAACACACAACACTTGTTGGTTGAGCAGGGATGCACAATGAATGTAACACAGTGCGTTCTTTTCCTCTGCTGTTGGTGAAGCGAGCGCAGATACTGCTCATGTTGATGGAGACACCCTGCTGCAACATTCATTTATTACAGTGATCACACTTAGCTTTGCCATCGTTCTTCAGCACATGCAGCCTTTGAGCACGTTGCAGTCCATCTCTAAACTATGTTCAGATTATTAAAGCTGCTCGCCAGCGCCCAAGTTCCTGACAGATTAGCAAGTGAAAAATACACATGTGTGCACAGAGAAGAGGAATCCAGATGTTGATTTTAGAACAAGAGTCTGAACATTAATCCAAGTGTCTGATTCCAGAATCTGAATCCATCTTCAATCCCCAACCCTATTCCTGACCTGATATTGTAGGATTCTTCAGCAGAAATGGAGGAAGAAGTTTCTCTGCTCAGCTCAAATGCTGAAACTGTACAGTGTGTCCCGCTTAATGTCACTGTAACTGAGCCAATACACTCTAACATTTACAGAGGAGATTCATTTCACACTCAATGATTTGCTCTTCATAGACATGACTGGAATACTCTACAAGCTGTATCTTCTGTCTGTCCTCACCCCATAACCCTCACAGAAAACTGAAGCTGATCACAAAAGAGCTTTCTAGTGTCTTTTTAAAGCCATTCAGTGTAAAAGCACAAGGCCAGTGCTGCTCCACATACTTGAGTTTGTCCAGTGTGTAGTTTGGATCCTCCAGTTGTTCAGAGAGCAGCTTGACTCCTGAATCTCCTGGATGATTGTAGCTCAGATCCAGCTCTCTCAGGTGTGAGGGGTTTGAAGTCAGAGCTGAAGACAGAAAACCACAGCCTTCCTCTGTCACCATACAGCCAGACAATCTACAAACACAGCAATAGTCCACATCACACAGTTGGACAATCCCACATTTCTTTGTGTTGTGAAGATGCTGACTGCTGTTTCTGCTCATGTCAACAGCAGTGATGAACACACACATCCTGATCAGCTCTCCTTATTGATCGAGCCCTCGCATCAGCAAACACACTCACACACTCAACAAGGACTCGACATCATCTGTAGAAGTGTACAGAGCAAAGACATTGTTCATAATACACCACATCAAGCTGTAAAGTCTGCTGTGAGGAGGAAGAAGACGCACTTGATCATCTTAAAGTCATGTATTAAGTGCTGCTATTCAATGATCCTCCACAAAGTTTGATTGTTTTTGTCATGTGAGGGACATTCTACAACACTGATTCAGAATTATTTGTAATGATCAGTAATGATGAGTAAAGTAACACTGTAGGGTCATATTAGGGTATTAAACATTCCCATTCTTAAACGCTTTACTTATTGAAGAATCCACTGAATAAATGCAGGATAATAAACCAACAGATCATTTTCAGCAGATCACAAACATCTGTGGACATTTATAAAGTTAAAGTGAAGTTACATCGGACATTTCACTTTCACATTCACACTTTAGCAGAGAATGAAGAGAATAGCAAACCTGTAAACCAGCTGAGCAGTGTTCATCTAGTGTCAGAGATCATACACATCTTTTACAGTGTTGATGTGTGCTGAAATCATCAATGACAATGAGTGACCGTCCTCTTTACACTCAGCTGTTAATTCTGCAATAGTTTGTGCATCATAATAATCCATCATCTTAATCTGATTTTATAGTTGATTTCAAACATTATAAGTGTGTTTTGTAGATAATCGACTCTTAAATGCAGGATTTCAGCTGGTTGTATGATTGTAAGACATTTACTCAAATGTTGCAGAGGTCTGAAATGTCTAATCAGGTGATGTCAGACAATATTTATTAATTATCGCCATAAAAATATCTTGATATCCTATAATATTGTCTCTTACTCATATCTGTCAAGAGACAACAATTGAAAAAAAAGACAGAAACGCTGGTGAACTCCTCTGAATGACCAAAACACTCCGGCGGGACAGAGCAACAGACAGATGCTAAGCTGCTTATCTTGGAGGATGGCCAGCACAAACTCAATGCAGCTTCACACTCTCGTCCAGCCCTAGGCATGAAAATGACCAGCTAAATCCAGCTAAAACTAGCTTAACCAGCCTAGGCTGGTTCAAACTAGATTTTTTAGCAGACAAGCGTATCACACGAGAGTGTCAGTGCCCATTCTAGACTCACAGTGGATTTAACAGTGATGTTACCTGTTTTCCAGACAAACACGCTCAACCAATGGCTATTGCTGGACCAAGTTCATGTCTGAATATTAGCGAGTCCTAGACTATAGAAAGAAACGTCTTGAGTCTGGACTCGAGTACTACAGCCCTGACAGTCACCAACTTCAGCTTGTAGATCAAACTTTACTGCATAAAGAGCAACAGAACATGACCTGATCTTCATTTGTATATTATATTGTGGACGATGATGTAAATAAACTAAAACAAACAGAAACCCACTCTCTTAATGTCTCTTTCACAAGCCTGACAGTCACATTCACACTGATGGAGCATTAGGGGACTTTTATTCTGTCAGCTGAGAAACACCTGATCAATAATCATGAGCGCTGACTCTCCTTCCCACACAGCCTTTCTGACAGAAGATCTTCAGTCAATATATTGCTTCATGTGAATGAGTAATCAGGGTTATTTTCAGATGCATGTGTAGTAAATACATCAGTTCACCAGGTCTCTTACAGTAAACTGCTGAATACATGCTTATAGTGTGTCTTCATATTATTGTAGTGGTTTAGATCAGTGGTCTTCAACCCCCAGGCGGGTGCTGGTGCGTGGATTAATCAGTACCGGGCTGAACAAGAATGAATTATCTTTAAGTTGGCAGATAAAGAAGCTGCATTTAAACTGGATTTGTGGGGACAGCGCGTGAACAGAGGCATATCGGACGTGTTTCAAACATTAGCGCGGATTTTGTGTGAGACTGAGCCTGCGCCCTAACTCACCAAGCTGCTGCACGATCACCAGTCTTCGCTGTTAAAGGAGTTTGAGAAACACTTTCGCATGTCGAGATGTACATGATACTGTATGTGTGTGTGCTGGCGCCCACGGGCTGTTTCACAGGCACATGCAAAGCTTGAAGGTAAACAAACAACGGCTTATCATAAGCATCTTATCGATAATTATTTATACGGTTGGCATTAAAGTGTAACGAATATGGCCGACCAGACACATAAATAAAAAATATGACTTTTAAATAATTTTAAATAATAAAATTTTGCATTTTATTTCACAACCAGCCAGCTTTGCCCAGAGAAGGCTCGAAACCTGATTCCAAGGTATTTACGACCCAAAGGAATGTGCCATGCGGCTCTAAGCACAGGAATGACTTACAAAGGACTATTTGCTGTTTAACACTGTTTTCATATAAACTTTACTCTTTATGTTTAATCATATGTTTTGCAAAGTTTCCCTTTCTCTTGTATTATTATTTTTGGTTTTAATACCCTTGCATATAATGTTTAACTGTACCTAGGCTAAGCATCCTCTTATACTGTTCAAGTTTGGACTTTTTGAAAAGCTTACTCGCTGTACAAATTGATTGTTGACATTTTATTTTAATATGAGTTCAACATATAATTGTTTTAAGAGACTTTAACATTTTTGTCCCGATTTACATAAAATTTGCCTATGCAAATTATTCTGCCTCGGACAAAGACCCATAAATTTTATATTCCAGGAAGTTAGCTTCTAATTGGTCAACTTTCCATGGAGGGTGGATCCGAACCTGCCCTATAAAAGTTGAAAACCAAGCTAAACACCTGCTCTTCTTCGCTCTCCTCTCTCCTCTTCGCTCTTGGAATCTCTCTCTGTTCAAACTCAACCGGGAACCTCTCTTCAAACACACTGCCTGGAAGCTCCCCCCTCTCTCTCCCAACTCCAGGCAACCCCCCTCCCCCTCTCTGCTCTGGAAACACGTTGTTTTGAACTTTCATCAACCCTCTACAACTTCCTCAGACTGAGAAACCTCCAAGAAAGCAGGCAGAAACCCAGACAGAAAGGGTTAATCACACATCTAAACATCTAAACTGGTGTGAACTAAATTAACCCTAAAGAGACAATAGAAGGGTTATATTGAATTTGATTACGTTTGGTTGCTTGGTATGTTCTTACAGACTCATAGGTTTTTCCCATCATTACATCTTCTCAACCTCTTCACGTTTGTTACTCTCCCCTATGCTTGTATGAATGTGTGTTCGTGTTAGGTGTTAGTTTCTGTTGGATTAGTCAATAAAGTTTATTTTGTATAAAGAAAGGTGCCTGTGTATATTAATGAATCTAATGTCTTGAACTTTGATCTTGCTACCCTGCTCAAATTTTATGTTGATAGCATCGCTGAACGATTCGTTTGTTCGGATCAAAAGAGTCAATTCATTTGAAGCCCTGTTCAAATGAATCTTTCTCCCGCTAAGCTAGTCCGCTATATAATGTTCCAGAAGGTACACGCGCCTTGAAATCTGAATCATAACTCAACATTATAACGGCGGGAAAGGTGCGGGAAGAATAACCTTGAGCTAATTTACTACAGTAATAATAGTGTAGATATGAGAGCACTCTAATCTACATTATTATTATGATGTGCTACCTGTTTATTTGTGGAGAATAAACAAAGCATGCAAATGTAATTTATTACAGATATATTGGTGTAGAACGCTGAGCAAATGTAATTTAGTACAAAAGTGAACATATAAACGTTATGTGACTAATTTCTAGCAGCTAAATGTGTCTGGTTTTATTCTCATAAACCGCGCCGACGTGAATGCGTCTGACTGTTCTGATTGGCTAAAGCAGACGTCTCATGTCAGCACGTTCTAGACGTGCACGCGCTCTTTCCAGCAATCTTCCTTTTATGGACCATCTCGTTGCAAAGAAACAAGCTCAGGGCTCCCATTGATTTAGCGTTACTGATGTTATAATATGTTATATTGTTGGAGCAATGTGTTAATAAAGTTATTACTTCCTAATGTTATAATAGCATTGTAATGTTGGAGCAATGTGCTAATAAAGTTCCATATGAGTACACAGTGGATTCACGTTGACTGGTCCGCAGTTAGAAAAAGGTTGTGGACCACTGGTTTAGATAATATTAAGAGACTTTTATATGTTTAGAAGAAACTGCAAACTGAACAAACAGCAGAGCATGTCTAAACTTCACCAGGACACAACAGATATAAATATAAAAATATAAAATATGAATAAATAATTCAGAGGTAATTCATTATAAAGATCCTTAAAATAAACTGATTCCTTTAACTTTAAGTCACATTTGGGTATATTGGAAAAAGAGAAGCTCTGAAAGTGCAACATTTCATAATAGACTAAGTAAAGCTTTTAAATATAATTATACGATAAACATACATTATTAAAGCTATGATTAAAATCACAACCCTGTAAATGTTTTGTTTTTTTCTTCTGTCAATCCACTGAATGGGGCTCCACATCAGGTAACCCAATATGAAACTGTATCTGTTGAGTGGAGAATCATTTACCTCAGTGTGTCCAGTTTACAGTGTTGACTCTTCAGTCCATCAGAGAGCTTCTTCACTCCTGAATCCTGCAGGTCATTGATACTCAGGTCCAGCTCTCTCAGCACACAGTTTGAGGATTGTAGAGCTGAAGACAAACTCTCACAGCACTGAACAGTGAGATAACACCACTGTAGTCTGTGTAGAGGACAGTAAAAGACACTGTAATTATTATTATTATTGTAATATTAACAGACCGAAAATATGACTTTACAAACTGTATTGCAAATAAATCACATCAACATCTTCATATTAGTCAATAATATTCCTGAAATGAATATAAAACTGACTGAATATAACTTGAATACACACATGAACATCAGTAAATAAAGAGACTCAGTGATGGGCTGAACATCTGCAGAAACACAGCTCATTTAGAGACGCCCCAAAAACACCAAAGAACACCAATCAATAATCATTTCAGCAGAAATGACACTAAAGAGCAATATTATATCTGATATAAACAGGGTTTCTCATATTTGACTTCACATTAAATATGAAATATTCACAATAAAAAAACAAAAATAAAATACATCACAGCATATGCTCATTACCTCATCAGACTTTACAGCATTTCACAATGGAAAAGTCATTTGTGGCAGCATTTATTTGATGGAAATGTTTTTATTTTACCTCAGTTTCTCCAGTTTACAGTGTTGACTCTTCAGTCCATCAGAGAGCTTCTTCACTCCTGAATCCTGCAGGTCATTGTTACTCAGGTCCAGCTCTCTCAGCACACAGTTTGAGGATTGTAGAGCTGAAGACAAACTCTCACAGCACTGAACAGTGAGTTCACAGCCCTGTAGTCTGTGTAGAGGACAAAGAGCAACAAAATCAGCAGTAAGAAATGAGCAGTGTTGAGTGTTCATGAGTTCAGTCTACAGTGATAAAAGCAACACTGGAAATAAACTATATATATATATATACTGCTCAAACAATAAAGGGAACACTAAAATAACACATCCTAGATCTGAATGAATGAAATATTTTTATTAAATACTTTGTTCTTTACACAGTTGAATGTGCTGACAACAAAATCACACAGACATGATCACTGGAAATCAAATGTATTAACCCATGGAGGACTGGATTAGGAGTCACACTCAAAGCTGTAATGAACTGCAGGAATTGCTGACACACTCCAGACTAAGAATGCACGATATATCGGCGCCTATATCCTTATAAACGCTATTTTTAAGATTATCGTTATCGATCCGATGTCTTAATTAGGCCGATATATTTAAGCCGATAAATTATGTAATTGTACAGACCTGCGTGTTGCGCTCGCGTGGGCGAAACTTGTTCAGACTTGTCCAGTGCACTATAATGGATCTCTCCTCACACTGTTTATTCCTTTAAAGTCCGTCCTTTCTTCACGTGGCATTGCTGTGAGTTAATAACTCAGTAAGTAACCACGTTCCTCATCATTGTAGATATGCTTGATTGAGTGTCATTGTGTATTTTGCTTTAAATCGCCTCAGGAAAAATATTACATGTGGAAACCTTTCCTGCTCTGTCTCTTTGTTGTGTTAGAGATATCAGGGGAGATTCACTTATTACTCCAGGGCCGAATAATGTTAGTTTCAGGGTGAACTCTTTTCGTTGCAGCTGGTGAATTACAGAGGACACATGTAACTTGGTCCAAAATATTTATTACTTTCTGTGTGGTACAACAAATAAGCCACCAAAGAGGGAACATCACAGAAAATGGTCTCATTGCGAAAAAACCGCTCCTCTTTTCTCTCTCCTGTCTCACACACAACACCAAACTGCAGCCCAGTCCCGTTGAAGGACCCGCACATTTTACAACACGTGTAAACATAACGGTTGTTTGTAATCTGATTATTTGTTATTATCAACGCGTTGCTGGTCATGTGTTGTTTATGTAAGATAGTATTCAGTTTGATCGGAATATTCATATTGATTATAACGAGCTTGCGTGAGAGCTGTCACCGCACACACACACACACACACACACACACACACACACACACACACACTGTAGCACGGGGGAGAGGTGAGAGAGGTGAATCCAGTCAAAGGGGCTCTTAACTAGCCGCTCATTCTGCCTTTATATTCTGCTCTGTGTTTGTCATAAAGTCAGCTCAATGCAGGTTTTGTCTCAAAATCTGACTCTGATGGCAACTCTGCCTCTACAGTTGAGTAAAACTCTCAGCGGTTTATCATAAACTTTTCATTGATCATTTTCCCGCGATTAACGGCAAGAACGAGCGCAGAAGCGTTGTCTGATTGACAAGCAGAACCTACATGTGACATGTCAATACGCCAAATAGCATGAATCTGTGCCGCATTTTCTAAACACAAAATCAAGATGGCGGCGTGCAGATGGAGCGTGCAAACAGTGCTAATTTTCACTGCGTTTTATAGTTTGCTTTATCCAGCAAAGGAGCCCAGTTTGTTTTATCCAGCTAAGGAGCCCAGTTTGGGGCATTTTACTTTTTTAATTCAGGACAGAGATATGACGGAGAGACATTTCGGCATGGGAACGAATATTGTTTACGAGTCGTTTCTATCCCATCCGTGGGCAGTTCCGTGTACGAAGAAAAATGGGAGTAAAAGAAAACAACGAAGAAGCGATGGATCAATTATAATTATATGCTTACTTTTGTCTGGTGATGTTCATCCATGCCCTGGCCCGGCAGCAGGAGGATGTCAGCAGCCAGGAGATATTATAGTAAAGTCACGCTTTGATGTACGGCGTGCGGGCGGCGAAGAGTGTCGGAGACCAGCGATTTCAGAGGAATGGAGTTTTATTGCAGAAAACTGGGATAGTTTGTCATCTGCGCACGATGAAGCGAGAGATGTGCGAACTGCTCAGGGAATGCCGGCTGGTGTCGTCTACCATGAGGACCGTTTCCTTCGACCCGTATGTATGGAGCCTGCGAGTAAACAGGTGGTTTCGTCTTTGAACTTGGATTCTCCGGTAAGCGCATATCATCAAAATGTTATTCATGATGCGGACTTCAAGAGATCATCTAAAGGTCTACGTATTGCTCATTTAAACGTAAGGAGTCTTCTGCCAAAGATTTCCGAGCTAAGACTGTTGTGTTCGGATCTACGGTTGTCGGTATTTGGGTGTAGTGAAACTTGGTTGGACGGTTCAGTGTTGGACTCAGAAATTGAAATTGCGAATTATAGTTTGATAAGAAGAGACCGAAATCGTAATGGTGGTGGCGTATGTGTTTATATAAGATCGGATTTGTCTTTTAATGTTAGAAATGAGATGAATAATGCATCCATTGAAGCTGTGTGGGTGAACGTTTTATTACCAAAGAGTAAACCTATTTTAATTGGAAACTTGTATCGGCCACCAGATCAAAGTAATTTTTATGAATTGTTGGACGAAAGTTTAAATGATTTTGTGAAAACCCATGGATCGGAAATTATAATATGTGGGGATTTAAATACTGATATGTTAAATGTGGACGCTGTGTTATATAAGGCTTTTAAACATTTTTCAGATTTTTTTGGATTGAAGCAAATTATTAAGGTTCCAACTAGAATTACTCCCAAATCGCAGTCTATTATAGATTTGGTTCTTACATCTGATTCAGATAAGATAAGTTGTAGTGGTGTTATTGAGTGTAGTATGAGTGATCATTTTTTAGTATATTTATGTAGAAAAGTGCAAAAGGTGAAGCTTATGGGTCATAATACTGTTTTAGTGAGGTCAATGAAGAATTATAGTCCTAATTTATTTTGTGATATATTGGATAAAGTTGATTGGTCCGGGGTATGGGGATCCAAGGATGTGGAGGCAGCATGGGATTGTTTTAAGGATCTGTTCAGTAATGCTTTGAATAAAATAGCACCATATAAAAAAATAAGAGTTAAACAAAGATCAGACCCTTGGATTACAGATGAAATTTTACAACTGTTAAAGATAAGAGATGAGAGTTTTGCCAAGTTTAGGAAGGATAGTGATTGTAGCAGTTATGAGTTTTATAAATTAAAGAGAAATGAGGTTAGGAACAAAATAAGAGAAGCAAAAAGGGTTTTTTTTAAGGATAAGATCAATGAAAATAAATTTGATCCAAAAAACTTTGGGGTGTACTGAGAAATTTAGGTTATTCAAATGCTAAAAGTAGGAAATCATCTAAAATTAACTTAAAGGTAGAAGACAAATTAATAGTTCATCCGAAGGATATTGCCGAATCTTTTAATCAGTATTTTATATTGTTAGCAAAAAAATTATGTGGTCAGCTTCCAGGGCAACCTGATATTTACAATGAAGATAGAGTGTTTTCTTTTTATAGACAACAGGACATTTTGCCGGATTCTTTTAGTCTGAGACCTGTTACAGAAAGTGAAGTTTTAAAAATTATTAGTGAGTTAAAATTAAATAAGGCTCCTGGAGTTGATAATATTCCTGCTAGATTTTTTAAAGACTCTGTTAAAGTGATTGCCCCCTTGGTGTCACATATTTTAAACTTATCTATTGAACAAGGGAAAATACCATGTGATTTTAAAAGTGCTAGAGTTATACCATTATATAAAAAAGGAAGTACGTTAGATATGATTAACTATAGACCTGTATCAATCTTAGGGGTTATGTCTAAAATTCTGGAAAAAATTGTACACGAACAGATAGTCAACTACATTACTAAAAAACATATTTTGTATGAGTTACAGTCAGGTTTTAGAGCATTGCATTCCACCGAGACATGTATATTACATATGACAGACAAAATACGGAGAGCTGTAGATGGTGGCAACTATTGTGGAATGGTGCTGCTGGACCTTCAGAAGGCTTTTGACACTGTGGACCATCAAATTTTACTATATAAATTAAAGGCAATTGGATTTGATAAAGTGTCTTTAAAGTGGGTTCAGTCATATCTGCATGATAGAAACCAGAGAGTCGATATAAAGGGTATATTATCTGCTCCCTTATCAATCAACTGTGGAGTACCTCAAGGAAGTATTTTAGGTCCATTATTTTTTCTTTTATATATTAATGATTTAAAAATAGCGTGTTCAGAGGAGCTCTATCTTTATGCTGATGATGCCGCAATTTTAGTATCTCATCATGACAAAAGGGCCCTGGAAGAAATTATGAGTTCACAGTTAAAAAGTGTTTACAACTGGTTTTTAGACAACAAACTTTCTTTACACATGGGTAAAACAGAGGCTATTTTATTTGCTTCAAGAGTGAAATTAAAAAAAGATGATAATTTGGTAGTTAAGATTAATGATTGGAAAATTCTGTCAAAAAATGTGATAAACTATTTGGGTTGCTTAATAGATAATAAATTATCAGGAGATGCTATGGCAAAAAAAGTTATTACGAAGATTTGTGGAAAAATTAGGTTTTTAGCAAGGCAATCTGATCTTTTGGATGTTCATTCTTTACAATTGTTGGCAGGAGCTTTAATTCAACCCCATTTTGATTATGCTACGTCATTTTGGTACAGTAGCTGCTCACAAAATTTGAAGGAGAAATTGCAAAAGGCACAAAATAAATTAGTACGAATAATTTTAAAAATGCATCCTAGAGCACATTTGCACAAAGAGTCTTTTAATAAATTAGGTATGTTAACTGTTAGTAATAGAGTGTGTTTTTTAAAACTGGGAATGGTACGTAAAATGTTTAATAATGTGGTTCCTAGCTATTTGATGAACTATTTTCAAATGGTGAGGCAACAGCATTCATACAGTACTAGGAGTTGGGATTTTAATATTTGTTTATTTAAATTTAGAAGTTTAGTGGGGAAAAATATGTTTTTATATACAAGTGCAATCATGTGGAACAAACTACCAAAAGCAATCAAGGAAATAAAAGATTTAAGGTTGTTCAAAAAAGCTATTAAAAGATGGTTGTTTGATGAGGATAATTAGTTTTGCATGGTGGATGAGGATTTTTTAAATTATGTTACTTGAGTGTGAATAGGTTGGCGGCTGGAGGGACATTGTGCTGGATAGGTTGGCTGTTTGTACCGCTGTGGCGACTGTTTGTTTTATTCTTCATTAGTATTATGAAGCCATACATTGTTTTAATTTAACAGAGGACCACAATGGAAATAAGCCCAGGGCTTTATTGTGTTTTTATCCTCGACAGTTTTTTTTAACAAAGTGTATGGAATACTTTTTGTACAGTTTGTCTAAAATCTGTCAAATAAAATTCAATTCAATTCAATTCAAACGTACTCTCTGTATTTAGCTGTTGGTTGTACGGTGGCTCTGAACTGTCAAAACACCTCTGATAAAGGCTTTTTCGGACATGACATATTTGTAGATGTGTACATCACTGTAACATGTTTTATTCATGACCATTTGAGCTGGTTTCAGTCCTTAGCTCTTTCATTTTCATCTTATTTAAATATATTTAACTTGCTTGTTAATTAAATACCATTTTGTTATTTAAACTATTATTTTAATGCAACAATCAACTTGCATGTTAATTTGCTATGAAGAAAAGGAAATAATTTTTTGCATGCTGATTTATGTGAAATCGTGAATATAGGTCTATAATAGGGTTGTAACGGTATGATTTTTTTACTGTATGATAATCGTCTAAAACAATACCACGGTTTGACGGTTTCGCGGTATACGGTATTAAATAGTAATTATCATAGCAAAGACCCTGAAAAGAATAAGAACACGTTTTCTGACTGAACAAAGGTTTTTCTATGGGGGAAAAAATGCATTTATTTACTGACAATGTATTTGCCCAAAAGGTCTGGGAATGAACTAAACAGAAAAAATGTTACAAAATAATAGAACAGTGAAGCAAATTTGACTTTTTCCAAATAATATATTTTCAGTTACTATAAACAACACCACTTACAATGAACAAATAAAAAAAATAAGAAAATAATAAATAATGTGTCAAAGTCCAAATAAACATGGTCCAAATCCTCAGTAATAAAATAGATATAAATATTTACTATACTATAAATAGTTACATAACAAAACTAGATTCAATATGGAACATCCTTAGGTTTTATGTGCCAGCATGGATATGGTTGTCTGTGGATATGGATTTGGATATGGTTGTCTGCAATGCAGACAAACAGCTGCATCTTCATTTGCGTCTTTTGAAAACAGCAAGAGCAGCACTTCGTCTTTGCTGTGTCACTGTTTTGTCATGTTTCTGTGCTGCAGTGCATGCAAAAGTACTTAGTATGAGAATTATTTCATGCAAAACTTTTTTTTTTTTTGCGTTTTATTTAGCCGCGCAGAAATGTATGTATCTCTCATTCCATGTTGTTCAAAAAGCTCATTGTCGGTCCACAAACAAAAGCGAAACCTATGCTTATTGGTTATGATATAGCGAGTTTGAACCAATCTGGGCATGGAGGAGGGACATTGCATCAATGTATCATGTCTGGTTTGTCCGGAGACACAGTGACGAGCGTTTCTTTGTCAAATCAGCGTTGTCAAATTTTGATGACGTAACCGCACTGATTCCGGAGCCTCTGAGTCCGCGAATAGGCTCGTTTGACTTGACCAAAATCTGCGCAGAATCGATCACCGGTGATCACCGCAAGATGCATGCCGGTTAGAAATGTGTCCGCCTTGCCTTCGCCTCGCTCTGATGTCACGCTGACGTGTGCCAAAAAACTCTCGCGATCGTGAGGCGGGTACCTCGGATAGAGCAGTCGGCCGCAGTTGCTCTCAAAAGACTGCGTTACCAAAAGCATGATGGGAAACGACTGGCTGACGACACAGCTTAATGCTGATTGGATGAGACTGACACATTACACTTTATTATCTTGTTTTACTAAGGTTTATACCTGGATTTGTTGAATACCTTTTTTGTATTTTCGTTGATAATTAAAAAAAAAGTCATAAAGAGCATCAAATATGGTTATTTATTTAGATTTACACGCAAACAAAAACAAAACACATCTTTGTAAAACATAACGTGACCTATCCAATATAACTAAATGTTATTAATAAATCATTAGGATGTGCATGTGCTGTATTATATTTCTCTTTTATAATCCTGTTTGTTGTCATTTTCACTTTTTGTATGTTTGTGTGAATTTTTTAATGTAATTTTTATGCAGCATTATTCCATTAAAGTCAATCTAATATATACATATATTCAGAAATACAAAGATAATCAGACTGTTTTGTCATTATGCCTCATCTTTGTGTGGTTTCATATGAGAAGTGAAAAGGATAGTTAACAAGACACACACACACACACACACACACACACACACACACACACACACACACATGTATATGTATATGTATATGTATGTGAAGTCAAAAGTCATGTTTAATAGACCAAGAACATTTCCACAGTTTTTCCTACAGTCTAATAGTTTTTATTCTGGAGAAAGTCTTGGGCTATTTATTTTAGTCTGGCTGGAGTAATATCAGTTTATATAGACCTAATAAGCATGTCAATATAATTAACCCCCTAAGAATTTATTTGTCAAACAAACATTTGTCATGACTTGGCACTCAAAAGCATCTATGGCTACTTCATTTATAATGTAGCCAAATTGGGTTTCTTGAAAGCTTTCTTGCTGTATAAGCTGTTTATTTTGTTATTATTTTAACGTTTGTTGAATATAGCCTACTATATATAGCCTATAATTATATTTTTAATACACCCTTTTAGTTAATGAGCGGTTCATCTTCTGTAATTCTGACCATCTCTGTAAAAACAGTGATATTTCTATTGCATCCACTCCCACATTAAAAAATACTATAGTAATGTATACTGTAGTGCTTTTGAACCATGTTATAAAATAGCCTATTTAAATTTTATAGTTCTGGTATCACAACAACTATAAACACAACCCAATACTGAATAAACATGTTCAAAAATGCTATAATATTTACTACAAATCACCATAGTATTTTTTTCATGAGGACATTCGTCTGCGATAAAAAACGCGAACGAGATCTCCGCCACTGGTGACGTTTCCAGGTGGCTAAACAGCGAGATTCGGCAGGTGTCCGACTTCTGATGTAATTTTTGAGCCCTCCTCTTACTGCGCACGCCTGCTCTCGTTTACAATGCAGTCAAGGCGAGGCGCACCTAATGCCTAATGTTATGTGATACGGCACTTGAAAGCTGAGATTCTCTTCTTTATGCCAATCTTTGAATTGTATGAATCGGATCAGCGGATCAAAAGTTATTAAACATTTAAGAGCAATACATATTTTTAGCCGCGGACAGCTGTCTCGGTCTTTAAGGGTTAAAACCGTTGATATGCAATTGTTCATGGTATGATAATCGTGCACGTTCAAATCGTGGTAGACTGTCATACCGGTATATTGTTACAACCCTAGTCTATAATCACCTTGCAATTTCGAAATAATAGCTTTTTTTGCTTTGAGTATAGACTGTTCAGTTCATAAGAGCAGTTCAATCTATTATGAACTTTGCTGTATAAAAATATAACATTCATTCATTCATTTTCTTGTCGGCTTAGTCCCTTTATTAATCCGGGGTCGCCACAGCGCAATGAACCACCAACTTATCCAGCAAGTTTTTACGCAGCGTATGCCCTTCCAGCTGCAACCCATCTCTGGGGAAAAAAAAAATATATATATAACAATTTAAAATATTTATAATTATCGGCCTATATATATCGGCTATTTCCCCATTCATATGACTGTATTGAATTATTGAACAGATTATTAATAACTAATCAGAGAGCATTTTACTGAGCTCAGTGTAAAGTTTAGTGTTTAGGCCTACAGTAAATGTAATATTAGAGGCATGTCTGCGGCGAGACGGCAATACTGTGTCTAAAATTACACTATTTCTCTGATCAGAAAACAAACACAATTATCCAAGAGCAACACTGTGTTAGATTTGAGCAAATACACATCAACAAATGTCCTATTCAGCTGGAGGAGCACAGGGATTTACAGGGATTTGAGTTATTTTCCAGCATAAACTGTAAAGCAAATGAAGTAGATTATTAAATAAGTACAAATGTTGTTTGTGTGAGTAAAAAGTCAAGAAAAGTTTGTTAAATACGTTTAGAAATGCTGAAATAAATGAGCAAATAAGGAAACAGAACACTGCCGCCGCGTCCCCATGCAGTAATATGGAGTATCAGCGATCTCACAGGGGGACGATGTGGCCAGCTAAAGATTTTCTGTTAAAGCAGGGCAGTGATTCACTAAACTGATCTGAGTCTTCAGTGCAGACTGATGTGTGTCTTCTGTGATCAATCAATGAATACTCACAGAGCTCTTCTGCAGTTTCTCACAGCTGCTGTCAGTCTCCGTCTTCCCTCAGCTGATGTGTTGAATTTATTAGAGTCTAACTCATCCAGCGGCTCCTCTGACATCTCAATCATGTAGGAGATTGTTGAGCAGTGAGCAGGAGAGAGTTTCTCCTCTGAGTGTTTGTCTGATTTCACAAACTCCTGAATCTCTCTGGCCAGAGTCTGATCTTTCACCTCCAGCAGACAGAGGAACAGATTGATGGATCTTTCAGCTGAGAGACGTTTATCTCTCTTGATCTTGTCTTTAATGTACTGTGTGATTCTCCTGATGTTCTCTGAGCTCTCCTCCGTGTGTGTCAGCAGATCCTGGAAGAGTCTCTGATTGGACTCCAGCAAGACGCCCAGCAGGAACCGCAGGAACAGATCCAGATGACCATTACTACTCCTGACAGCTTTATCTACTGCTGATCTGAACAGAACATACAGAGACTTCTTAGACCTGGCCTGTAGATATTGATTATATGAATATTCTTCATCATAAATCACCCTCAGCGGTTCTCTGTTCTTTGTTAAATGGCAGTAAAACACAAAGAAAGCAGCCAGAAACTCCTGAAAGCTGAGATGGATGAAGCTGTAGACTTTCCTCTGATGAATCACAGATTCCTCCTTGAAGATCTCAGTGCAGATCCCAGAATACACTGAGGCGTCAGTGACGTCTATGCCGCTCTCAATCAGGTCCTCCTCATAGAACATCACATTGCCCTTCATCAGCTGTCTGAAAGCCACTTCAGCAAGTTTGAGGATCACTCCTCTGTTGGACTGCAGATTCTTTGGATCTCCCTGCAGTTTCTCTGGATCTCCCTGCAGTTTCTCTGGATCTCTCTCTACATACTTCTGCTTCCTCACGTTGATCTTTAGCTGTCTGAAAGCCACTTTAAGTTTGTTGATCACTCCTCTGTTGGACTGCAGTTTCTCTGGATCTCCCTGCAGTTTCTCTGGATCTCCCTGCAGTTTCTCTGGATCTCTCTCTTCATACTTCTGCTTCCTCATGTTGATCTGAATCAGCAGGAAGTGGATGTACATCTCAGTCAGAGTTTGAGGGATTTCTGCACTCTCATCTTCTTCCAGGAGCTTCTGAAGCACAGTGGAGGAGATCCAGCAGAAGACGGGTATGTGGCACATGATCTGGAGGCTTCTTGCTCTTCTGATGTGGGAGATGATTCTGCTGGCTTGATGCTCGTCGCTGATTCTCTTCCTGAAATATTCCTCCTTCTGAGGCTCAGTGAATCCCTGAATCTCTGTCACACGCTTGATGTATCTGGACGGGATCTGATGGGCTGCTGCTGGTCTGGAGGTGATCCAGATGAGAGCAGAGGGAAGCAGATCACCTTTCAGGAGGCTCCGCATCAACACAGCCACTGATGAAGATTCAGTCACAGCACAAACTTTCTCCTCATCTGAAAAGTTGAGTGTGATTCTGCTTTCATCCAGACCATCAAAGATGAACATAACTCTACACTGCTCATAAATCTTGGGCTCCAGATCTTCAAGTTCAGGATGAAAGTCCAGCAGAAGTCTGTGAAGACTGTACTGATGATCTCTGATCAAGTTCAGCTCTCGAAATGGAAGCACAAACATGAAATCTACATCCTGATTGTCTTTTCCCTCGGCCCAGTCCAGAATGAACTTCTGCACAGAGACGGTTTTCCCGATTCCAGCGATGCCTTTAGTGAGAACAGTCTTGATCTGGGCTTTCTCCTTCTTGATCTTCTCGTCATGTCCTGCTCCAGCTGAGGCTTTAAAGATGTCATTGCAGTAGACTGGAGTGTGTTGTGAGGGTTTTGTTCTGGCTCTTTTCTCCATCTGTAAAACCTCATGTTCTTCATTCAATCCTTCACTCTCTCCTTCTATGATGTAGAGCTGTGTGTAGATCCTGTTCAGGAGGGTTTGAGTCTCTCCATGGTTGATTCCCTCAAATAATCTCTCATACTTGTTCTTCATGCTGGTTTTGTGCTGCTCTTTGACTCTCTGAAGTTCATCATGTTCTGGTTGGAGTGAATCCTGCTGCAGGTCTCCAGTCTGATCATCTCCATCCACACTGCAGGAACAACAACAACACAAAGAATAAATGAGTGTGAGTGTAAAGATCCTCTAGTGAAGCCATGTGTGTTTTCTCTGAACCTGCTGAGACACAATACACAGATTTAATCCAGAACAAAACTAATGCAGAAACTGTTCCAGATCAGCAAGAACCAGCTTCAGTCTTTAAATCACTCTCAACTTTTGTGAAGCACTTTAAACACCACAAAACACCACACACTCATCAATTTAAACACCACACACTGCTCACTATAAACACCACACACAGATCACTATAAACACCACACACTGATCACTTTAAACACCCCACACCGATCACTTTATGTGAGAGAGCACAAGCATGATGACAAAAGCTCCTAGATTACCTGCTCAGCTGCTGTAGTGTGTAATGTGGTAATGTTGACTCTGTTTTCTTTTACTGTATAATTTTCTATTCTCGTGTTCCTCTGGATCTTGTATTCTGCTGTCTGCAGTTCTGAAGGTTGTTGTGATCTTATACTTGTAATTGTTTTGCCATCAATAAGAAATAATAATCCTCTCCATCTCTGCCATCTGAATCTTTCAGTGCTTCACCATGACAGTGTTTGTTCTGCTTCTCTCAGCTCATTTTCTGACTGAATATAGTTTTTGATTCACATAAAAACCCAAGATCATACAAGTGTTTGCTCTCAGAGTTCAGGATTTCAGTAACAGCACTGTAATATTTATCCACTTTAACACTTACCACTTTAACTTTCTAACATTTATGCAATTTATTAAGATAATCAGAGAAGATCTGAATACAGTTTCATCTTAAATCAGTATCTCTCTTGACTATAATTACTTATCAGGTGAAATGTGGTGTGTTTGTCTCACATAACTTGTTCATTCATCTTGACTAAAATCTCTTGATTACCCACACTTTGCTGACTGTTGTAAAAGCCTTTAAACTCACTCTACTAACTCTAACAGTTTGAGTATTAAGACTTTATTAGTACTTTACTAATGATTTAATGAATGTGTGTGTACATTTAGTTTTAAAGTCTCCTATATTTTGTTCCCTGTAATAAAATGTCTTGACTGGACTGTGAGAATAAAGTGTAATAATGTCTGAGCTTCTAGAAACACATGATCGTATAAATGCTGCAGTGAAATCATGTGTGTGTGTGTAGAGATCATCTACCTGACAGCAGGTCGTGTGTTTTCACTCTTAAACTGCATTGGTAGATCCATAGACGCGTCACTCTTCATAGACACACAGCTGGGCTCTGCTTCTCTGTTCTGATAAACTGAACTAAAACAGAGAAGATTAAAGTTGATCTCTGTACACACTGCACAAACCTGATATGAATCATTCTTCATTTACAAAAACACTTAAATTAATTTCCTTTATATTTGAACAGAAACTGTCTGAATGTGGAAAATATCAGCAAACACAGATCAAGCCTCATTTTTAATAGAGAAAGCCCAACAGAAATGCAGCACTATTAGAGCAGATTAGAGCTGAAACTAATCATCAAATCACTGAATGAAGTCCACAGTGTAGGTGTGGGAGGAGCTTAATCATTCAGGTGTGTCAATCATCATCACATGACTGTATAAGCAGCAGTATAAAATGCACTGTGTCAGCTGACTGTTATTCCCGCCTCCAGCAGCTCCCCTTATCCTCCTCCTCATCACTCAGTCTTCAGAAGGTCACTCATCGGGGGTTTGTCTGCAGAGCTCCAGTCCAGACTTTGAGGACAGCAAGACAAGTTCATTTACCATCATCTATCATGACTGAATGAGCAGGAGAATTTGAGAAATATCAATTCTAGAAACCAAATGTGTTGATCAGCAGCATCTATGAGGCCAACACAACATGATGATGACTGCGCTTCAGTGAAAACAGACTCAGATCTCAGACTCAGAACTGCTCATTAGTAGTCATACAATATGATCTTATTGTGTATCCCTAACCCTACCCAAAACCTAAACCCACCTTCTACCTCACTAACTATTAATAAAGCGCTGATTGGTTTGTTAACACCATCAATTGTGGCCTGAAGTGTAAAGCGGAGATCTTCAAGCACTATCCTGCAGAGCTCAGATACAACATCTAACATCTGAAACCCAACAGATCCACAACACTAATTACCTGATTCATTTATTATTAAAATACTCATCAGTTGCAGATATTAAAGAGATGATCTACCTGACAGCAGGTCCTGTGTTTTCACTCTTAAAATTTATTGCTCGATCCATAGACGCGTCACTCTTCATAGACACACAGCTGGCCTCTGCTTCTGCTCTCTTCTGATGAACTGAACTAAAACAGAGAAGATTAAAGTTCAGCGCTGCACACACTGGGGTCAACACAGCAGATTTACTCAACATTTCATCATTAAAACACTTTTTAAACAGCACTTCATGATACTTTTGATTATTGTACAAAATCTTGCTGGCTATGTGAATTAAATATTCTGACAGATTAAAAACAACTAACAGAGAGTAAATATAATATCCTGTAGAAAATAATTATGTGAAATGTCAAGTGAAGGTCTAATACCTGCATTCAGTGGACAAATCCTGATCTCCAGCAGTGTGTGTGTCCTCCATGATGGACCTGGTTTTATATTCACACATCAGACATTCTCCTTTATAATAAGTATTAAGTAATAAGTATTATTTGCAAATATGCAAAAGGGAAATCATATTAGCAGCCAATGACTATCAAAGTACAGCAATGTTCACAGTGAATTAAATATTGTTAATGTTGTTTAAAAGTCACACTTTACATGTGATTTTAGCCTGAATATTCTAAGTACCACAGTAAACAGTGTACGGAGATTTCACTGAACGAATGTGCCAATATTAAACCAACTTAACCTCAATTAAATCAAGAAGCTTATCACAAGTAAACTAACTGAAGAATCAAAGCGTCATCCATTTAAATATAATAACAGCATACACACATTCACATAAAGCTTAGGTTTGGTGCAGACATTAAAGATTTAAAGCTGTTCTGTGTTAGTAAAAGATGAATTCTGGTTGTTTAAAACTGCAACACAACAACTAAACACTTTCACTTTCGTTTCTGAAGGAGCGGCAGATCAGGAGTTCAGTGAAAAACATCCGTCACAAACACTCTAAACAGAGCAGAGAAGAGGCTAACAGCTGCAGGGTTATCAAAGCACCTGCAGAGGTACATTTTACAAGGAGGATTTTACCTGAAGCAGTATAAACACTGGACACAGAGAAGACAGAACAAATACATACCTGGATATCCTCCGCCTCCTCCTCTTCTTCTTCTACTTCTTGTTTGGCGAGTTACAGAGAGTAGCGTACAGCTGAATGCCGCCACCTGCTGTACTGGAGTGGGTATAATAATAATATTTTTACAGTTTGGTCAAATCAGTTTCATAGAGCAGTGGTTCCCAACCTTTTTCCTTGCTGTATGTGTGTGTTTGTGCATTATTAATATATATGTTTAGAAAATATTAATTAATCAGTTTTACATTTATTACAATTAAGTTTAATTACATTTTACACGAATACACGGGAATTTACATTTTTAAACAAATAAATGTTTTTATTCCATCTGTGTATGAACATACACTTTATGTATAACACTGAATGTTATAATAAACATGAACATTACAATAGCTGTGCTTTTACTTTCAAGTTAGTACAGATGTACTGTCAATTTTATTATGGTTTTTATAAGGCTAACACAAAGCTAATGTCCACCTTGGGCTTGCATGTCTTTGACTAGTGATGGAATTTCAGGTGTAATGCCAGTGATAGCCAGTCTAAAATCGCTGTGCACCTCCAGTCTGTAGCAGGACTTTGTTTTTATAGCCACAAGAGTACTGAAGGCTGTCTTAGAGAGGTAGGTGGTACTGAAAGGTAGAATGATTTTTGTAATTGCATAGTTTGCAAGTTTAGGTGCGACAACAGGTCCACTTACTATCCAAAGTCTTTTAAATCCATTCTCCTGGAAGAACTTTTTTGATAGTGAATCAGCTTGAAGTTCAGCGAGCTCATCTTCACAGCCAAGGTATTCCACATCTTCAAGTCTGGATGTAAAGGGATCTATAACCCACAGATCCTTGGATAATTTCTCAACATCCGCGAAACGGGACTTTAATTCCGCCTGTAGTGACGTCATGTGAAGGCAAAACTCTGTGCGCAAAGATGCGCCCACGGTATCGCCAGAGTGTTGAAGCAGCAGTGGGAAGTGTTGTAAATGCCCCTGTGACATTTTTCCAGCTCTGTAGTCCAGTTTGCGCATAAAAGCATCGATTGCTTCTTTGCATTCTAAGATAGTTGACTCCGAGCCCTGCAGTCTTTTGTTGGTCTCATTATAAAGAGTGAATATGTCAGCAAGGTATGCCGTTTTAATCCAGAACACATCTGACAGCTGTTCCAACTGTGTGTAGTTTTAACTTTGCAGAAATTCCAACATTTTATCTCGCAGTTCTAGAAAGCGCACCTCCGTGTGTAGCAGAAGAGTTTGGTGCGCTTCATCCTCACACAGTTGCGCAAATAATCTCTGGTTGGTAGGACGAGCTTTAATGAAGTTTACGACTTTTACAACTGTTGCCAGTGTGTCGCTAAGGTCTCTGGACAGTTTTTTACTGGCGAGTGCTTGGCGATGGATCATACAGTGGAAGATGACACAGTGCGGGCTCTTTTCCATCAAACGGCTGTTAAATCCCTTATTTCTACCCATCATCACGGCAGCACCATTTGTGCAGCAAGCGACGAGATTTGCATAGGGCAGATTGTAGGATGTGAGGTAAGAATCGACAGCCATAAAAATATCTTGACCTGTAGTTGTTGTGGGTAAATTGGTAGACATGAGAATGTCCCGTTTCAACTCCTCTCCGTCAACATACTGTACATACACGATAAGCACAGACTCTCCCTCCACTATGGTCGTTTCATCCAGCTGTATAGCAAACTGCACTCCTCTAAGTTTTTCGTGCAACTGATTTTTGCAGTTTTCTGCCATTTTATCAATCCTGTCTTTCACAGTGTTGTTAGAAAGAGGGACAGTTTTAACTTTTTCAGCTGCTTGCGGACCACACATTTCCACCACTATTTTAATGCAGGTGGGTTTGATTAGCTCCTCTCCAATATTTTGCGGCTTTTTTGCCTTGGCAATCAACAGCAAACAGTCAAACGAAGCTTTGTCCTAGTTGAGACAGCGAATAAGTTAAATTTTATTCTGAGTTATCGCTTTTGTAATGTAATAATGTACATGCAATGTAATTTTTTTTTGAAGACAATATTTTCATTTTCAAAAAGAAAATATTTTCTACATTTTGAAAACTACTGTTCTATTACATGTAAAAGCAGTGCATTCAAACTATTACTTTAAATTGAAGTTACTTATATTTTAGTCTGCCACTAAATTTAATCTATGAAATAGAAAATTAAAGAAGAATATTAATGTTAACTTTGTTACTGGATTATTATTAGTGATGAATTAATGTGTGAGCATTATTATATCATTGGTTTATTATTAGTGATGCATTCATGTCTAAGCGTTAGTTTATTATTATTAGCAATGGATAAATTTCATTCATTCATTTTCTTGTCGGCTTAGTCCCTTTATTAATCCGGGGTCACCACAGCGGAGTAAACCGCCAACTTATCCAGCTCCAACCCATCTCTGGGAAACATCCACACACACATTCACACACACTTATACACTACGGACAATTTAGCCTACCCAATTCACCTGTACCACATGTCTTTGGACTGTGGGGGAAACCGGAGCACCCGGAGGAAACCCACGCGAAGGCAAGGAGAACATGCAAACTCCACACAGAAACGCCAACTGAGCCGAGGTTCAAACCAGCTGTTTGGCAACAGTACTACTTACTGCGCCACTGCCTCACCCATGGATTAATTTGTGACCCTTATATTATAGGTTTATTATTAGTGAGGCATTCATGGGTGATCCATATTGTTTTTTACTTTGTGATTAGTGATGTATTATGCGTGAGCGTTATTAGATTAGTTTATGATTAGTGATGTAGTGATATGTGAGCATTATTATACTATTTGTTTATAATTAGTGACTGATGAAATGAGCCTTATATTTATTATTTGTGAAGTGTTTAATTAATGTGTGAGAATAATGCACGGCAATTATTGTAACTATGGTAGTAAATAATAATATAAAGTGTTGCAATGTATAATAACTGCATTAAAATGTTTGTAGTAAAACTGTACAGTGTGCTTGGTCAGCTAACGTTAATCTTACCAAATAACGTTATATAACATTTAGAACAATCATAAAATAATCGTGTTGTAGTAATTAATGTTACTGTAATGGTTATTCATTTAAACCAACTTTTTATAAAAATAATTACTTTGCAATTGTTGTCCGAATTAATCTGCGACAAAATCTGTTATTACAGTACAAATCATGAATGGTATAAGGGCTCTAATTGGCCATAGCGTTCATTGTAACTCGGAACATGATTGGCTGCCGTAACCAAAAATAGGGCGAATCTTGGTTCCAGCTCGGGACGTGATTGGCCAGCGTAACCAAGAATTTAAAAAATCTTGGTTCCAACTCGGAACGTGATTGGCCGGTGTAACCAAGAATAACCACTACTTACAGGTGCCAGTATGCGCCACTGGCCCAGTCTGCGTCAGCAGTGCTCATTAGCTTGCTGCTTGGAAAGAGGACACGGCTCGGTGAACGGAGTTCCTTCAACGCTGGCTGTGCTTTTTTGTCATGGCAAGTTGTGGTGTCGATAGGATGCTCTTACACAGAGCATGTGACAGTCCCTCCCAAGAAGAACTGTGACTTTCTCTTCTCTAGGAGGAGGTTACAAACGTTAGAGTTATTTTTGTCAGAGCAGCTGCAGCACACCTGGGTGGAGGCCTACAGCTAGGCTTGAGGGCAACCTTTAGCCAGGCCTTCCCGGGTGTTCTTGTGGTTAGGATTCAGCGCTCCCACCGCATCGGCCTGGGTTTGAGTCCCGGTCCGGGAAATTCATTTTCACCTCCATGGTGAACTTCGAGCAGTGTTGCCGATGATCTCTTCACAAAAGCAGCTCTGAGCGCAAAAGATGTCCTTTGAGCCGCACTGTAAGACGTAATAAGACACACTCTGGCACAGACGTCCAGTCTGCACGCTGGAATACACGCTATTATCTCATGGTCGAGACGCAGCTTCAAAAATTAGTTTCAAACCGAAAGTACAAATTTGCTTGAAATAACGCAAAAACAACCAATTTACACTTTTTAGTGAAATATATGTGTCCTAATAGTGTTTTTAGCAGTGTGGGACACATACACAGCAAATTTTAGATAGTAGATTTAACTACCTTAGAGTTAAAATTAACCCTCCCTCATAGTTTATATGGGAACCACTATAAGTGTTAAAAATAACACTTTTAAAAGTGTTAACATTGTCAACACCAAGAGAGTGTTAATTAGCAAACTCTTATTGTGTAAAATATCTGTTACATTTCCGAAAAAATACCAGCAGCTGTGGTTGCCAGAAACTTTCTGTGAAAAACATGGAAGTTTTATATAACTGTACAAACTTACAAAAAAATAACCATATTTCATGAACTAATACAATATTCAGTTTACAAAATCATAGC